TGAGACCTAATCAAGACTATAGAACACTTCCCTCTCTTCACACCTTACTACCACATTACTAAAGATATATTTACTGTAGTGCCTTTTACCCAGTGCATCATGTGTGCCTTTCAAAAATTACAAGGCAGATTAAAAGGCAAAAAAGTTGAAGAGTTTGAAGTTTGCAGAGACAGAACAAACATCAAAACTAGACTTAGATGTGGCAGCAGTATTGGAATTATTAGACCAGGAATTAAAAAAAAATACTATGATTAATATATTAAGGGATTTAATGGAAAAAGTAGACAACATGCAAGAACAGGTGGATAATATAAGCAGAGAGATGGAAATTCTAAGAAAGAATCAAAAATAAATGTTAAACATCAAAAACAATGTAGCAGAAGTGAAGAATGCCTTTGATGGTCTCATTAGTAGACTAGACACACATCTGGGGAAAGAATCTCTGAACTTGGGGATATAGCATTAGAAAGTTCTAGAACTGAAAAGCAAAGAGAAGAATACTGAAAAAAAAGTAGAACAGAATATCCAAGAACTATAGGACAATTACAAAATGTGTAACATACACGTAATGGGAATATCAGAAGGAGAAGAAAGGGAGAAAGGAACAGAAGCAATATTTGAAACAATAATGACTGAGGATTTCCCCAGATAATGTCAGACACCAAACCATAGATCCAGGAAGCTTAGAGTACACCAAGCAGGATAAATAGGAAAAAAAAAAAAAAAAAAGAGAGAAAACAAAACAAAAAACCCTACAAGTAGGCATGTATTCAAACAGCAGAAAATAAAAGGTAAAGAGAGAATCAAATATTTAAGGTTTTGAGAGAAAAACCCACCAAAATAGAATTTTGTACCCTGAGGAATTCTTCAAAAGCAGAAGAGAAATAAAGACTTTCTCAGACAAACAAAAATTGAGGGAATTTGTTACCAATAGAAATGTCTTGCAAGAAATGCTAAAAGAAGTTCTTTAGAGAGAAAGAAAATAATATAGATAAGAAATCTGGATCCAAGAAGGGAGGAGCATCAGAGAATGATTAGTAAAGGTAGAATAAAAACTTACATTTTTCTTACTCTTAATTGAGCCATCAGATAACACTTTATTCAAAATAATAATAGCAATAGTGTATTTGATATTATATGCGTGTGTGTTTATGCTTATGTATAAATGAAATGAATGACAGCAAGGATACAGTTATAGGAGGGAGGAATTAGGACTATTTTGTTATTATAAGGTCCTTGTACTACCCATGAAGCAGTATAGTGCTATTTGGAAGTAGGTTTGGATTAGTTGTAAATGTATGCTGCAAACTTGAGGTCAACAACTAAAAATAGACACATAATAGATGTAATATGCTTCAACATTTGAAAATTAATGTATTCCATCACATCAGTAGGCTAGAGAAGAAAAATCACATGATCATATATCACTAGATGCCGAAAAAGCATTTAACAAAGTCCAACTCCCATTCATGATAAAAACTCTCAGCAAATTGGGAATAGAGGAAAACTTCCTCAACTCGATAAAGAAAATGTACAGAAACCCTACAGCTAATGTCATACTTATTGATGAGAAACAATGGTGGGAAACAGGGCAAGGATGTCCTCTTCTTACCACTGCTTTTCAACATCATACTGAAAGTCCTAGCTAATGCAAAAAGACAAGAAAAGCAAATAAAAGGTATAACGATTTGGAAGGAGAAATAAAACTGTCTTTGTTTACAGGTGACATGATCATTTATGTAGAAAGTCTGAAAGAACTGACCCCAAAACTCCTGGAACTAATAAACAGTTGTTGCAAGTTTGCACATACAAAGTTAATATACAGAAGGCAGTCACTTTACTGTATACCTGCAGTGAACAAGTGGAATTTGAAATTAAAAACACATTACCATTTATATTAGCACCCTAAAAACTGAGATACTTATGTATAAATCTGACAAAGTTTGTACAAGATCTGTATGAGGAAAACTACAAAACTCTGATGAAAGATATCAAAGAACTAAGTAAATGGAGAGATGTTCTGTGTTCATGGATAGGAGGACTCAAAACTGTCAAGATGTCATTTTGTCCCAAGTTGATCTACAGATTCAGTGCAATCCCAGTCAAAATCCCAGCAAGTTATTTTTTTTTTGGATATTAACAAACTGATTCTGAAATTTATATGGAGAAGCGAAAGACCCAGAATAGCTAAGGCAGTATTTAGACAGAAGAACAAAGTTGGAGGACTAACACTACCTGACTTCAAGACTTAATATAAAGCTACTATAATCAAGACAGTGTGGTATTGGGAAAAGAATAAAAAAGAAAGATCGGTAGAACAAAATAGCTCTGAAATAGACTCTCATAAGCATAGACAACTGATCTTTGAAGAAGCAAAGGCAATACATTTGTGTAAAGATAGTCTTTTCAACAAATGGTGCTGGAACATCCGGACATCCACACGCAAAGAAGTTGACTCTAGACACAGACCTTACACTCTTCACAAAAATTAATTCAAAGCACATCATAGACCTAATTGGAAAATGCAAAACTATAAAATATCTAGACGGTAACGCAGGCAGTAACCTAATTGACTGTAGTTACGTTGATGAATTTTTAGATACAACACCATCCATGAAAGAAAGATTATTATCCATGAAAGAAGTATTGATAATCTGGGCTTCATTAAAATTAAAAGCTTTTGCTCTGCAAAACAGAATGTCAAGAGAATGAGAAGATAATCCACAGACTGGGAGAAAATATTTGCAAGAGACTGTTAACCAAAGTATACAAATAACTCTTAAAACTTGACAATAAGAAAATGAATAACGTGGACTTCCCTGGTGGCACAGTGGTTAGGAATCTGCCTGCCAATGCAGGGGACATGGGTTCGAGCCCTGGTCCAGGAAGATCCCACATGCTGCGGAGCAACTAAGCCCGTGTGCCACAACTACTGAGCCTGTGCTCTAGAGCCTGCGAGCCACACTGTTGAGCCTGCGTACCACAACTACTGAAGCCCGTGCACCTAGAGTCTGTGCTCTGCAACAGAGAAGCCACCACAGTGAGAAGCCCGTGCACTGCAACAAAGAATAGCCCCCGCTCGCCACAACTAGAGAAAGCCCGCACACAGCAACGAAGACCCAACGCATCCAAAAATAAAATAAATAAATGAATAAATTTATTAAAAAATAGAAAATGAATAATGTGATTAAAAAATGAGCAAAGACCTGAACACACATCTCACCAAAGAAGATATACAGATGGCAGGTAAGCATATTGAAAGATGTTCAACATCATCAGGGAATTACGAATTAAAACAACAGTGGGATACCAGTACAACATACCTATTAGAATGGCTGAAATCTGGAACATCCACAACACCAAATGCTGGCTAGGATGTGGAGCAATAGGAACTCTCATGTATTGCTGGTGGGAGTGCAAAATGGTACAGCCACTGTGGAAGACAGTTTGGCAATTGCTTATAAAACTAAACATACTCTTACTGTACGATCCAGCAGTTACACTCCTTTACCCAAAGGTGTTGAATATTTATCCACACAAAGACCTCCACACAGATGTTGATAGTAGCGCTCTTCATAATTGCCCAGACTTGGAAGCAACCAAGATACTCTTAAGAAGGTGAATGGGTGAATAAAGTGTGGTACATCCATACAATGGAATCTTATTCAGTACTAAAGGTAAATGAACTATCAAGCCATGAAAAGACTTGGAGGAAACTTAAATGCATTGCTAAGTGAAAGAAGCCAGTCTGAAAAGGTTACATCATGTATGATTCCGATTATATGACATTGTGGAAAAGGCAAAACCATGGAGACAGTAAAAGGATCAGCGTTTGTTAGGGGTTGGGGGCAATGGAGGGATGAATAGGTAGAGCACAGGATTTTTAGGGCATTGAAACTATTCTGTATGATACTATAATGGTGGATATATGTCATTATACATTTGTCAAAGCGCGTAGAATGTACAACACCAAAAGTGAACCTTAATATGAACTGTGGGCTTTAGGTGGTAATGATGTGCCAGTGTACATTCATTGATTATAAGAAATGTCGCACTGGTGCAGGGTGTTGTCAGTTGGGGGGTCGTGTGGTGTGGGGATCAAGGGGTAGATGGGAAATCTCTATACCTTCCTCTGGGTTTTGCTGTGAACATAATTAAAACTTCTCTAAAAAACAACGTTTATTGATTCGAAAAATGGAATTGAAGCAGAATGTAATTCTTCATACAATTTTGAGCAATTCAAGTTTATTTGCACTTACAACAACACAGATTTGGAGTATTTATAAAGGATTATTGATTAAGAGATATACACTTGCTTGCATTATTCCAGTATTCATGTCAAAAGTAGAAATTTCAGTTCATCAGTATTACCAACTACAGATTCCTGTAATCTGCACACTGTAAGGCTTACTGATCATTTCACCCACTCCTGATGCTCTTACACTATGCTTTGTTAACTTTGATCTTTTAGCCTAAAACTTAGTCTAATTATGTTTCCAATTTCTTTTAACCAAGAAATAGGTTTATACTACCAGATGACAGAATCTTACATTTTAGATGTAACTTAGGATACAAAGGGTCCGAAAGAGTGTTTAATCTTAAGTTTCTTAAACATTTGTGAACAAGAGTCCATGTTACAAATAAGAAGACATTATAGTTATGCCTTAATATTAATTAGTGAATTCAGCAACTCATTGCCTGCTCAATACCTTCCCTGCGTCCAAGCTATTCATTAAGCCAACAATACACAGACCTCTACACTAAGATTTATACCTTCTACATGTACCTTTGAATGACTCATTGATTTTGTGTCTGTGAAAAGACTTTAAAGGAAATTCTAAAAATAATAATAATTAAAGCGGTCTTATCTCACTTTTCTATTGTTTGGGAATATACCTGCCTGACCTCAAATGCCAAGTTTTATTTTTTGTTTCCACATAAAGATTATATTTCTGAAAAGATTTTGAGAGAGAATTGCTAAAGATACTTCTCTATTTTAGATGAGCAAGTTGTTATGGGCAACAAGCTTCTTGTATATATTAGGTAAGAGATTTTTAATTTATTTATGTGTGTATGCTTCTTTTACAGAATTTCTCCTATATTCTTAGAGGTACTGTCATCTATTATCTGTACAGTGCTTTTCGTTTTTCAGTGTTCTTTCACGTATAGCAGTGCTTCTGAACGGTGGGTGATTCTGTCCCCCATCCCCCCTCCCCTCCGCCAGACATTTGCAATGCCTAAAGACCTTTTAGCTTTGTCACAGCTGGGGTGGAGTAGAGATGCTACTGGTATCTGGTGGATAGAGGCCAGGGATGCTGCTGAGCATCCTGTAATGTACAGGGTAGTCCCCACAACAAAGAATTCTCTCTCCCAAAGTATCAATAGGGCAGAGGTTGAGAAACCCTGATACAGAGTATTTTACTTTTACTACCAACAAGTCTGTGAGATATGTATTTATCCGTATTTTATATATAAGGGCAAGAGATTAGTTTGCATCACAAAGAAGTTAGTGACAGAAGTGAGCTGAAATGTTCATGTCCTTACTCCTGGAACAGAGTTCTTCCAATAGACTATGCAGGCTCAGAACTGTGTCCCGATAGAGTTTTACATAGATAACTGGCTGGCAGACAGGCAGGAAGGTGGCAGAACTTGCTGGCACATCATTTTAGCTTCTGTATGCATCAGAGTTAACTTCGAGACCTATTTCATATCTGTTACATTGTTTTTTTAGTGTAGAAGAACACGTATAGCATTTACCTAGTACTTTATCTTCTGTACTTTAAACTTTTAAGAATATGCAGGTATCTAGCTGTCTCTAACATTCAAAATTGATGACTGCTTCAAATTCACTTAAAATTCACTTCCCCCTACCCCCAGCTGCCAAAATGAGGGCATATTCAGGAGACATTTTTATAATCCAGCCCACAAAGCAAGTCGTTAGCCATTAGGAAGGTCTGATTTGGAGGTGAAGCTGTACAGTTAATTTCTCATGAGATTCTAATTCTCCCTGAAGGCTTGTCTGACTACAGATAGTTTTTAGCCTAGCTCATTCCCCATCTTTATTCACCATTCTTAGAACCACTGGATTTAAAAGTCTCTGAGGGGCTTCCTTGGTGGCGCAGTGGTTGAGGGTCCGCCTGCCGATGCAGGGAACACGGGTTCGTGCCCCGGTCCGGGAGGATCCCATGTGCTGTGGAGCGGCTGGGCCCGTGAGCCGTGGCCGCTGAGCCTGCACGTCCGGAGCCTGTGCTCCGCGGCGGGAGAGGCCACAGTGGTGAGACGCCTGCGTACTGCAAAAAAAAAAAAAAAAAAAAAAAAGTATAATGATGCTGTTAGTCTCTTTCCAGATGCTGGATGTGAGACTTTTAGGTAATCTGTCCTTATTCCTTCTTGCCCATTTAGTGCAGCTTGAGTTTTTCTTAGGAAAAATAAGAAAAAAGGAAAGCTGTTACTCAGTTACAGGGTGTATTATTTCACCACCATCTCTGCTGCCCACATTTTCTGAACTGGCTATCATCTTGATCTGGGCTTGGACCTGACCTAACTGACAAAAGCTGAGCCTGCTCAAACTTCAAACTACTATCTTGGGTTTGAGAAACAATGTGTTCCCGGGAGGTTATTTAGCCCATTATAAGTCACCAAATGTGTTCTCTTTCTTCTCTTCTCTTCTAGCTGTTGTCTAGCAGGTCGTGCCTATCCCCTTGGTGACATCCCTGAAGATCTTGTTCCCTTGGTTAAAAACCAGGTTGGTGCTATTTTCATAGCGTTTTTACTCTCTTGTTAAAATGCAGTAAAGACAAATTGTAATAGAGGGTTACACATGGGTCAGGAGTTATCAGCTGTGACAGGAGAGAGGCTACATACCATCATTGAAGCCAGTAATTATAGCTGAGAGAGGTTAGAGACGTTATAACACAGTGGCAATTTAAAGTAAATTCAACCTGCTTTTATTTTATCCAAATGGGAAACATTGCTTCAGCAAGATACTTTGTAAGGTGAGAAAATAATCACCTTTTTTTTTCAACTTGCAGGTTTTTGAATTTTTAATTCGCCTGCATTCAACAGAAGCTCCCCCTGAGGAAGAAATCTATCCCTATATACGGACTTTGCTACATTTTGACACAAGAGAATTTCTAAATGTATTGGCGCTGGTAAGAAATAATATGATTCTAAGGTATTTTTAAAAGGAGTCAGGGTGATAATTTTTTTCTAATAGAAAGAAAGACAAATAATAGTCCTTATGCAAGTACAGTTTTTATGCCCTAGCAGTGAGGCAGGGTTTCAAATATTTAATTTTGTTTTGCCACCCATATTTTCTAATCCTTTTTCTCCCTTCTACCCTTCCTTTCCTGCTTCCTTCCCCTCTCTTTCTTCTCTCCCTTCCTGTTTCTCTATGTCTGTCTGTCTGTCTCTGTTCTCTCTTTCTGACACATCCTTATTAAAAAGTTAAAGCAGGGTTAGATGTGGTACATCCTTGATTTCATAAATTGTTAGTTTGTATACTAAATATGGAAGATTGCCCTGAACGACATGTGGTGGTGATGATAGTAGAAGTAACTGGAGTTGAAGTGGAACGTGGAAGCTTGCTGAAAAAACATCCTTGTACATGTTTTATTAAAGATGTATTTGGGTGAGCCAGAGTCTCTGTGAAAATGCCCCCAGGGGAATAATTATATAACACATGATATACTTTCCCAATTAAATCATATTGTAGTTTTTTAAAAAACTTTTGATAATATGGACAACACTTACATTTTAGTGTTTAGTGAAGCAGCAGGCTCAAAAATTATTAAAAAACCAAATATTGTATGTGTACAATATTTGGAGAGAAAAAACAGGAAGGAAGTACATCTAAATGTTAATAGAGATTAACTGTGTGAGATGGGGTAAATTTATTTAATGAGCATATAGTACTTTTGTAAGTTGAATAATAAACTGTTACAATTTTTAAAAATGCCTGTGAGAAGGTTGAGATCCCACTCATATCATATTTTGCATTAGTTTAATTTGAAAATCTGATTTCAGAAGTAGTAACTTTAATAGCATAGGAAGAAGGTAAAAGAAACTTAGAAGTCAGATCTAGGGACTTCCCTGGTGGTGAAGTGGTTAAGAATCTGCCTGCCAATACAGGGGACACGGGTTCAAGCCCTGGTCCGGGAAGATCCCACATGCCGTGGAGCAATTAAGCCTGTGTGCCACAACTACTGAGCCTGCGCTCTAGAGCCCGCGAGCCACAACTACTGAGCCCGCATGCCACAACTACTGAAGCCTGCACGCTTAGAGTATGTGCACCGCAACAAAGAGTAGCCCCCGCTCGCCGCAACTAGAGAAAGCCCACATGCAGCAACGAAGACCCAATGCAGCCAAAAATAAAATAAATAAATTAATAAATAAATTAATAAATTAAACAAGAGAAGTCAAAGCTAGTTGGTTTAGGAGACCTTAGACGCCCAGAATAGAATATAAGGGTACTTAGTGTCTGGCATGTAGGATAAAAGAAACAAGAAGTGGTGGGGCTGGGGTTCAGAAAGCATGATAGAGAGCAACAAAGAATTTTACCTAATTTTCCTGTTTTAAAGGGCTGTGGTAGCACTGAAGATTGGAATTATGCTCATGTCTGAATTGTGATATTGGCATTGGTTGTAAGGCTGCAATAAAATCTTTGTCATTTACTTGACAAATATTTGAGGGTCAAATATATCACATGTACTGTACTAACTGGGTGTGTACCCTGGGCTGACAGTATATAAACCCTGCCTTTGTGGAGGAAGAGGATCCAGACTTGTAGATAAGTAATTATAGCACAGTGTAAGATGTGTCACTGGAGAAGTGCAGGATGCTGTAAGAACAATTAGAGGGGGAATCTAATGGAGGGTTCAGGAAGGTGTCTTGGATGAAATGATGTCCATGGTGAGTCTCAAAGGATGTGCAGAAGTTAGGTTAAGGATAGGGAAAAATATTCTAGGCAGAAGGACAGACTATGTAAAAAGGCCTGGAAATAAGAGCAATGTGTGTTCAGGTAATTGAAAAAATTCAGTATGGCCACATCTTTAAGTGTAAGGAAGCCTGCAGAGAGAGAAATTAGAGAGTTAGGTAGAGTCTGAGTTTTGTTATCCATGGTAGGAAGTTTGGACTTTATACTAGAGCAGCAGGTAGCCGTTGAAGCCTTTTAGGTAGAAAAATATCACGACTTGTAGTTTAGAAAAATTCCCTCTGGTTGTTGAATGGAAAATGGATTGAAATAAGATAAGATTGGAGGCAGGAAGATGTTAGCAAAATTTTGTGGTAATCTAGAAAGAAGGTAATGGTGGCTTGATTAGGGCAGTGACAGTGGGGGTAACCAAGACATGAAAGGATTTGAAAGATATTTTAGGAGGCAAATCAGCCTAAGGTTTAGGGCTTAATATACAGTTGGATGTGAAAGATAAGACAAGTAGGGAAGCATCAAAGATTCTTAGATTTCTGACCTGGTAAACTGGATGTATAGTGGTTTACTTGTGGATTCACCAGGAAATCAGAGGAGAAACAGATTTCTTGGGAGATGGATGGGGCGGGGGTGGTGGTGGTGCAGAATAATGATGAAGTGTGGTAGAGGTAGAAAATTTGCTCTCTTTTGGACTTAATGAATTTGAAATGCCTAAAAGACAAGTGGAAGCTTCCTTCTGTGTGTACATCAAGGGTTGGCTGCATTCCCAATTATTACAGCTGGAGAAATGGGTAAGATGTAGGATCCTAAATTCTAGATTCACTGCCTATTATGTCTACCATAATTGATTACTCATATGACCTTCCTAATTAGTATACCTTAATAAAAAGAACATTTTCAGGGAGGCACAAAAGAATTTAGATGACAGACTTTTAAATCATATTTTCCCACCTTTAAAAATTTTATAATATTTTTTTCAAATAGGTTTTTAAATTTAGCTTTCTTGAGGTACAGTTTATACAAAATATAATTCATCCATTTCAAGACAAGAGTTTGACAAACATATGCAGTCTTGTAACCACTACCACAATCTAGATATAGAACAAAAGGTCACTTTTGCAGTTTAGTACTGAGTCCCTTGCCCCTTGCAACTGCTGGTCTGCTTTATGACAGTATAGTTTCGCCTTTCTAAAATGTTATTTAAATAGAATCATACACTTTGTAGTTTTTTCTGGCTTCTTTCACTTAAAATAATGCTTTTGAGACTTATCCATGCTGTGGCTTATACCAATAAGTTGTTCCTCTTTATGGCTATGTAATTTTCTATTTTATGGATATGTAATTTGATCCATTCACCAATAGTTGGTCCTTGGGGTTGTTTCCAGTTTAAGTTATTATGAATAAAGCTATTATGAATATTTACATAAAGGCCTTTGTGCGGACATATATCTTTATTTCTCTTGAGTAAATACCAAATAATGGAATTGCTGGGTCATTTGTTAAGTGTATTATTTTACTTAAGAAGAAACTGACAAGACTTTTCTAAAGTGGTTCTACCAGCCATTCCAGTAGTGTATGAGAGTATCAGTTCTTCATCTTCTCTCCAACACTTGGTATGGTTGATCTTTTTTTTAAAAATAAATTTATTTATTTATTTTTGGCTGCGTTGGGTCTTCGTTGCTGCATGTGGGCTTTCTTTAGTTGCAGCTAGCGGGGGCTACTCTTCATTGTGATGCCCAGGCTTCTCACTGCGGTGGCTTCTCTTGTTGCAGAGCATGGGCTCTAGGCGTGTGGGCTTCAGTAGTTGTGGCATGCAGGCTCAGTAGTTGTGGTGCACAGGCTTAGTTTCTCTGCAGCATGTGGGATCTTCCCGGACCAGGGCTCGAACCCGTGTCCCTTCCTTGGCTGGCAGATTCTTAACCCCTGTGCCACTAGGGAAGTCCCTGGTTGATCTTTTTAATTTGACCATTCTAATAGGTGTATAGTGGTATCTCATTGTGGTCTTAATTTATATTTCCCTCCTGACAAATAATATTAAACATCTTTTCATTAAAATATATTAGGAAAGAAGTTATGTTTGCCATCCATATATCCTCTTTGTTGAAAATATCAATTTTTTGTGCCAATTTTTAAAAATTGTTTTCTTGTTCTGAGAGTTTTTTAATATATGTTTTTTTTATCAGATTACGTAAGTTTCACATATGTTTTCTCCCAGTCTGTAGTTTGTCTTTTCATTCTCCTAACAAGGTGTTCTGAATAGCAGAAGTTTTAAATTTTGATCAAGTCTAATTTATTAGTTTTGTTTTATGGATGTTGCTTCTGGTGCTGTATCTAAGAAATCTTCACGTGACCTAGGGTCACAAAGATATTCTCTTGTATTTCTGTTAGAAGTTTTATGGTTTTAGGTTTTACATTTAGATCTGTGATTCATTTTGAAGACATTTTTGCGTGTGGTACAAGGTTTAGCTGCAAGTTCTTTTTTCTTCTTTTGCGTATAGATATTTAGCTCTTACAGCACCATTTGACAAAAAGACTGTCCTTTCTCTACTGAGTTGTCTTTGTACTTTGTCAAAGATGCATCATCTGTGTATATGTGGGTCTGCTTCTGAACTGTATTCTATGCCACTGGTCTGTTTGTCTTGATGCCAGTACCACACTGCCTTGATTACTGTAGCTTTATAATGAGTATGAAAATCACATTATGTTAGCTCTTCCATGTTCTTGTTCTTTTTCAAAATTACATTGTCTTTTGTAGTTTTGGGTGTTTTTTTTGCATTTCAATATGAATTTTGAGTTATCTTGTTAATTTCTACAAAAGCCTGCCTGGATTTTGATTAGGATTGTGTTCAATGTTTAGTCAATTTAAGAATAGACATCTTAGCAATACTGAGTCTTGTGACCCATGCAAAGGTATACTGTTCCATTTATTTAGGTTTTCTTTAATTTTTCTCAGTAATATTTTATAGTTTTCAGTGTAGTTTTCTGAGTGATAAGGATTCAATGTAATGTTTCTCTACTGTTGTACAATTTAAAATTCTTGATAAAGTAAAATAACACTTGCCTCCCACTTACCTTGCTTTTGTATACTGCCATAAGGAAAACTGATGTCAACCTGACTTTTCTTAACTTTCCCAGGGACTTAATCTTTTTTCCTAGAGGACCAGAATACTTTTTTCCTTATATTCAAAGACTAATATTTTAACTCTAAAATATTACTCAGAATTGACTATTTTGGGTCAGTTTTGCCATATATGTACTGTGGGCCTTTTCAAGTATGTGAATTCGAATCTTTTTATTTAAAGAAAGTTTTCTTGAACGTAGATTTAAATACTTTTTCTGCTTCGTTATTTTGTATTTCATCTTCAAAAACTCCAGTTATTTGTATATCTTCTTTATCTTCTATATTTATCACCTTTTTTTGTTCTCTTTTATTTCCTTCTTTATTTAATTTCATTTTCTTGGTTCTTTTCATTTACATTCTCTATTTCTCTTTACAGTGCTTTTGGTAATATCTGTTCTCCCTTTGGTGGCTTGTAATTCTGTCTTCATTTCTGAGATGACTTTTTTTTTCAGTTTTTGTCTGAGTTCAGTTAGCTGCTATTTCCTATCTTCTTGCTCTTTGTTCATTTCTTTTATGAATTCTTAAATTTATGGTTTGTGATGTTCTTTCAAATCTGCAATTGTATGTTTAAATATATTTCATATATGTTGGGATATTGTTATAGTTTACTTCTATCTTGTGACTAGTTTTTATTTTAAATGTTTTATTATTGAGTGCCTTCATTTGCTGTTTTTGTTGTCTTTTTTTTTTTTTTTTTTTTGCGGTACGCGGGCCTTTTACTGTTGTGGCCTCTCCCGTTGCGGAGCACAGGCTCCGGACGCGCAGGCTCAGGGGCCATGGCTCACGGGCCCAGCTGCTTCGCGGCATGTGGGATCTTCCCAGACCGGGGCACGAACCCGTGTACCCTGCATCGGCAGGCGGAGTCTCAACCACTGCGCCACCAGGGGAGCCTTGTCATTTTTTTATGTTGGATTTTTCTGGACTAGGAATAATAGGTGACCTTGTTGGATGGTGGGGGAAAATTACATACTATTTTCCGCATTCAAGTATCTTCTTTATTTGCTACAACCAAGTGCAATTTTTTAAATAAATAGTGTGTTTTGGGGATAGCCTATCTTCTCAATCTTTGATAGTCTCTTGTTTTAGTAGGGCCTTTATCTTGAGCCACTTTGTTCTTTACCACAAGCCTCCAAGGAATATCTCTCCATTCCCTTTTCTATGTTAAAAGCTGTATCTTACCAAGGCCTCCGATCTATACTTGCCAGACCTCTTCCTTTGTTCTTCCTATTAGCCAGTGTGCTGATCCACCGGGTTGCAGACGTGACCTCATTATTTCCTCACCCAGGGTGGATTTCCCTTTTCTTTTGGAGGTGAATTCCATTTGATATTATTGGTATTCTGTTCCTACTGAAACCTCGTCACACCCTCCTTTCCTCTACCCAGTTCTGTCCTGACCTCTTTTTGGTTTTATGGGCTTTGGAGCCAACTTTGCTAATTTGGGATGTTTACTTTCCCACTTTTATATAAGTTGAAGTATGTAACATTTGTTGTCCTTCTGGTTTTCCCATTAGCCTGGGTTGGGTGATTCTTTTTGTTCTTTTCTACATACACGGATCTTATTGGGAGATGTGTGAAGCTGTTAGGTCAGGGGTTCACAAACCACAGTCTGTAGACCAAATCCAGCTCCATTTGGCCTCTGGCTTGTGTGAGCTAAGAGTAATTTTTTTTTTTTAAGGGTTATAAAAAGAGAAGACTATGTCGTACAAACCACATGTAGCCCACAAAGCCTAAAATATTTTCTCTCTGGCCCTTTACAGAGAATGTTTCTTGACCCCTGGATCAGGCTTTAGCCAACTATCATTATCTTACAGAAACCGTATAATAGTTTTTAAGGGGCTACAGAAAGAAGTTTTTTTTTTTTTTTTTTACATCTTTATTGGAGTATAATTGCTTTACAATGGTGTGTTAGTTTCTGCTTTATAACAAAGTGAATCAGTTATACATATACATATGTTCCCATATCTCTTCCCTCTTACGTCTCCCTCCCTCCCACCCTCCGTATCCCACCCCTCCAGGCGGTCACTAAGCACCGAGCTGATCTCCCTGTGCTATGCGGCTGCTTCCAAATGTAAGGTAGATAGCTAGTGGGAAGCAGCCGCAGAAAGAAGTTTTTATGACCAAATTCACAGGTGACTTTGGACTTGAATTTTAGGTCTACCTTTGCACTTCACAAACCGTGTCATTCTCCATTAGGACATCTTTGCATGTTATTCCTCTAACAAGCATCGTATAATTAGAAGCATCTTTGTGGAATGATAATGTTTTAACATAAATGTGCCATTTTGGTGGCAGCTGTTAACTACAATCAAAAGATGTCATTATGTGTATCACAACATTCATAAGAAAGTATATCACCACTTAATTATGTTTACAGAAGTAAACTTGCAATATGTGTTTCAAAGCAGTGAATACATGCTGCCAAAAGGAAAGTGGATACAGAAATTCTTTTTTACTTGCTGTCAATGCTGTAGTTGTTTAATACATATGTTAATTCTCCGTGGTTTTGTGTTTAGTTGAATAGCAGTTGTATTAGCAGATAGTACCTTGTCCTTGTGACGGCAGAGTGACATCTCATTTTGGCCACACGCCCTGGGAAGGGGGTGTGTGCATTTGTGTGAGTGTGTGCGTGTTTGTTGTTCTCATAAACCTTAGAACTGAGAGACTTTCTAGACCATCTTTCTGTCTTCAGGCCAGGTCATATTTAACCCACGTAAGCATCAAAATACCCTCTGTTTGAACTTTCCATATTAAAAGTTCCTACAAGTCCCCTAGGTAACTCATTTTAGCTTTTCTTAACTAACTGGCAGCAAAGCATTCTACTTGAAGAAGAAATTTTTTTAGAAGATTTTATTTTCCTCTGTAAATTAACTGGACAAATCAGTAGTTGTTGTTTAAAGTGCTTACTGTGTGTCAGACAAGAAAAGGGAAGGAAGGACGTGCTAGTAAGAGAACAGCACGAGCCAAGGTACTTTGGAGAAGCTGGGGAAGCTCAGGGCCCATTTAAAGAACAGCAAGTATTCTGGTTTGAATGTAACTATGATGTAGTCTTGAAAGTTTGTGGCTTTGAAATTCTTTGTTAATCTATTGGGACAATATGTAGTCTATTTTTTTGCTTCAGGATCGTAAGCAGTAAATTATTGCTGTGTGGATTTAAACATTACTAAGGGCCAAATGTGCTAAGTGAAAACCATAGGCAGATCTTCAAGTCTTTCATCATGCTTATTATTCAGTAAATATTTTCATTTAAATTTTTTTATAGTGAATATAATTTCAATTTCTTCATATATGCATCCTGTAGCTTCTAGGTATTTTCAGAATCTGGTGCTGTCATATACGTGGGTGCATGTTCTATTCAAAATATATTTGGCTGTACTTGAGCAGGGGCATAAAATCAAAAATGCTGTACTTGGCAGTGTTTTGAAAATAGAATGCCTGTTCTTTGTGTGTATCCTTGAGGTTTTTAACATTGTGACAGAGCATCATTTTTTCCAAGTTGTCATGGAAATCATGAAAATTATTTTTCATGACAGTTAGCAAACTGTATTTCAGTTATTATTTCCAAATAGCATGGATGGAATGATGGCTGAGCATGTAGCATGTATTTCATCCTTTTCAAACCCTTGCTCACAAATTGCCTCTTGCCATTAGTGTTCTTTCTTTTTCGTTGCCTGTAAACTTTGCCTTCCTTTCCTGAGTCACTTTCTGGTTATATAGTAATCACTATATGTTTATACTTTTTATTTATTCAGAATACTATGCAATAGTGAATACTGTAGCTTTCTATTTAACTCACTAAAAATAACTTGTTAAAGGTATATCAGGAAAAACCGGATGAGGAGTGGTTACCTTATTTGGAACCTGACTATTAAGAATTTAGTATCTTGTTTCCTTCTAAAATTTCCAAATAATACTTACTTTTATAAATTTCTTTTTCCCTTTCAGACTTTTGAAGATTTTAAAAATGACAAGCAAGCTGTAGAATATCAACAACGTATTGTGGATATTTTGTTGAAAGTAAGTATTCAAAGAATATATGTCTTTGTATTGATGTTTATATTAAGAAAACTGAATTATTTGATAGCAAGTTCTAAAATAATCTTGTTTAATAAAGTAATATGTTGCAATCATTTAAAAATTTTATTATGCTGTCTTAGTACTTTATTCAGCTTTTGAAGACAAAGCATTCATTCAAAAACTATAATGTATCTCAGCTACAGAGCACTACTCTTGAGAAATGCATATTGTGATAATTCCTATATTAGTATGATTACATTCAGAAATGGACACTAACTTCAGAATGCTTTGAGAAATAATTAATGTGAAGAGTCTCCTTCTGTCTCATACCAACACCACTGTGTTGCTAAGGTAGTGCCATACATAGTTTTGCCATGGAACTGAGATGATGGTGACACTTAAGAATGATTTGAGGCACACAGAGATGATCATCCCAATCTAAATCTAACTAGATTCAGTTGAAAGCTATTTTGAGATTCATACTGTTGCTAGTGAATGATTCCTTTTCTGTCCATCTGCACAGCTTCAGCCACGCCAGTTTCTTCTTGTAGTTGAAAGCTTAGAATTTTCGTCCTGTTCATTTGGCTATAAAATGGAGATTTCATCCTCTTAGTAACTTTTAGATTATTTTGGACAAGAGATTAAAATTAAAATATTCTCTAGTTGTGCATAACATTAATGCATTAATTACATTTATAATAGTTCTTCATAATTTTCAAAGCTCATTTATATACATGATCTCATTTGAGCTATTTATTGACCTTGTAAGATAGGCAGTGATGAATAAGAGAATAGAATTGCTAAGCTCCCAAATAATGCCAGTTTGATCCAGGTGGCTAGTATGGTACCTTCCCAAATGGTCTTATTCTTGTCCTTTTTTTTTTTTTTTTTTTGCCGTACGTGGGCCTCTCACTGTTGTGGCCTCTCCCGTTGCGGAGCACAGGCTCCAGACGCACAGGCTCAGTGGCAATGGCTCATGGGCCTAGCCGCTCCGCGGCATGTGGGATCTTCCCGGACGGGGCACGAACCCATGTCCCCTGCATTGGCAGGCGGACTCTCAACTGCTGTGCCACCAGGGAAGCCCCTCTTGTCCTTCTTTAATTCATGATCTTACTTCTCCTTTACCTAATATTCTTCTGTGGCTCCCCCTTGGCTCAGTTGAAATTAAGTTCTGCTGTGAGAGAAAGTTCAAAATAATAATAGCTTGTTATGGAAATCTAGTTGTCTCCTATAAGTCTGGAGGGTAGGCAACCTGATCTAGTAGAGTAGCTTCACAAACTTATCAGTGATGTACATTCCTTCTGTCTTACTGCTGTTATTCTTAGTATGTGGTTTGTGTCTTTTGGCCCAAAACGGCTGCTGAGGCTCCAGCCGTCACCTCTGCATTCTAGCCAGCCTGAATGCAGAAAGAGATGAAGAAGAAAGTATTCTTTCTTTCAGAAAATTTTTTAGAAGTTGTGTACTGCAATTCTGCTTATATCATGTTGATCACAGCTTAGATATATGGCCCCTTAGATGCTAAGAGAGACTGAGCAATGTACTCTATTTTGTGGGTGGCCATGTGTTTAGCTAAAAATGAGGAGTTCTGTTTCTAAATTAGAAGGAAGGAACAGATGTTGGAGCACAAGTACTAGTTTCTGCCATACCCATCTAAACTGTTTAACACGACATCCAAGATGCTTCTATATTTTCTGGTCCCTGACTACTTCTCTATAACTGCACCCCTCTCTGACCCTCCTCACTGCCCCCACCCCCACCATTCTGTATTATGAACTCCTCAACAGTTTTGTTTCTTTGTTTGTTTTTGTTTGTTTTGGCCACACTGCACAGCTTGCAAGATCTCAGTTCCCCAACCACGGATTGAACCTGGGCCACGGCAGTGAAAGCCCAGAATCCTAACCATTAGGCCACCAGGGGACTCCCTTCTCAACAGTTTTAAATTGTTGGAATTCAGTGAACTTTCTGTGTCACCTTTACAGCTTATGTTCTTTGTGTGAGTTTTCTTTTATCCCACCATGCCTTTTCTTTCCCTTTCCCTGCCTGGCAAATTCCTAGCCATTTTTCAAGACATAACTCAAATATCATCCAAGAGAAACTTTTAGAACCCTCTCTCACACTTCCAGTTTGATTATTTGCCCCTTCTCTGTGTTCATGTAACACTTCATGCTACACTTGGCATACTGTAGTAATCGTTTACATGTATATTTTCCTACCTGGAATGAATTTCCTGTAGGTAGCAACTGTAAGGATTTTTTTTTTTTTTTGGTCATTGTTTTAACATGCCCAGAAACAGAAACACGTCCAGCACAATGTCTGCAACCTGGTAGATGTTCAAGAAATGTTTGCAAGTTGATTGAATTAGAATTCAAATTTAAAACTGTACTAAGGGACTTCCCTGGTGGTGCAGTGGTTAAGAATCCACCTGCCAATGCAGGGGACACGGGTTCAAGCCATGGTCTGGGAAGATTCCACATGCCACGGAGCAGCAAAGCCCGTGTGCCACAACTACTGAGCCTGTGCTCACGAGCCACAACTACTGAGCTCATGACCCACAACTACTGAAGCCCACACACCTAGAGCCCGTGCTTCACAACAAGAGAAGGCACTGCGATGAGAAGCTGGCACACGGCAACAAAGAGGAGCCCCCACTCGCCGCAACTAGAGAAAGCCCACACGCAGCAATGAAGACCCAATGCAGCCAAAAATAAAAATAAATAAATTAAAAATAATAAAAATAAAACTGTACTAAGTTGGAAGAATGATCCAAATGAAGGAAATAAAGCTCCATGAAGTACTTAAACTCTTACTGTTGGTGAATTGTGCTCTTGTATATATATGTATATATTTTAATTGAAGTAGAGTTGATTTACAATATTGTGTTAGTTTCAGGTGTACAGCAAAGTGATTCAGTTTTATATATATATATTTTTTCAGGTTATTTTCCATTATAAGTTATTACAAGATACTGAATATAGTTCTCCGTGCTATACAGTAAATTCTTATTGCTTATCTGTTTTATGTATAGTAGTTTGTATCCATTGCTCTCATACTCCTGATTGACCCCTCCCACCCCCTTTTCCCATAGGTAATCGTAAATTTGTTTTCTATATCTGTGCATCTCTTTCTGTTTTATGTATAGATTCATTTGTATTATTTTTTAGATTCCACATATAAGTGATATCATAATATTTGTCTTTCTGAATTACTTCACTAAAGTATAATATTCTCTGGTTCTATCAATGTTTGCTGCAAATGGCATTATTTCATTCTTTTTTATGGCCGAGTAATATTCCGTTATGTATATAAACCACATTTTCTAAAGCCATTTGTCTGTTGGTGGACACTTAGGTTGCTTCCATGTCTTGGCTATTGTAAATAGTGCTGCTGTGAACATTGGGGTGCATGTATCTTTTCGAATTAGAGTTTTCATCTTTTCAGATACATGTCCAGGAGTGGGATTGCTGGCTCATATGGTAGCTCTATTTTTAGTTTTTTAAAGGAAACTCCATACTGTTTTCCATAGTGGCTGCATCTTGTATATTGTTTTGATAGTATTTACCTAGGGTCAATGAAGAATGAACTTTTGAGATTATTTTCTCATTTCTGATGATAGAGTTGTACTCATTTGTTGAAGTGTTTTTCTGAGGGAGCATAGGCAAGGACCAGAGAACAGGTGAGGGAGCATCAAACCTCAGGCATTATCATGGGTGCTGAATGGCTGCAGATATAGAGGGGGAAAGCTGTTAATTTGTGACTTTTTATAAGATTGCTCAGAAAATTTTGTAAGCATGGTCTCTGAGATCGGTCAGAGAGGAAATGAAAAGAAGCTAAAATTTCTAGGATGATAACTTGCTGAGGTAGCAAGGGAATGGGCTATGAGTTAGAACTGTTTCCTTTGAAGGTGTTTCTAGGATCAGATAGTTAAAATTACACTTCAGAGCAAAAGGAAGAGCTAAAAGCAGAGAAGGGCACTAGTTGGGCCCTGAGAGTTGAGTCTTGGAAAGGACCTGCACACTGAAAGGGAGTGATGACTGGGTATTTTAAAGCTATAGAAAGCTCTTTGAATATTATAAATTGGAATTTAGATACACACACAGATTACAACTTGAAATATCCTCATACTCTAGTAATGATTAATTATGCACTTGAGCAAGCTGTGACTGCTGGATTAAAAGCAGGCATGGTAAAAAAAAAAGAAAGGGACATAGTGCTTTAGCAAAGTAAGAAAAGGTAAGCTAAAAGCTCGGCCCCAAGGGAATGTTTTATAGGAGAAATCTTATAGTTTATCTTTGAACGGAAAATGAAAGGGGGGAATTTAGGACTTTTCTCTAGGTGAGATGGGGTACTATTCCCTAATTTATTTTAGAGTTGCCTCCATAAATTCGTCTAGTCCAAAACAATACCTGGCCTTCCTTCCCATACTTTTGCATTCTCCCTCTTTGTTAATGGCGTCATTCTCCTCCCTGCCTGTCAGGCTCAAGACCTGCCATTTTTCATTCCTCCTTTAGCCACATGTTTCCACACATGTGAATACTTGCCCTGTCTCCTCTCTCTCTGCAGTGTCTTTTGCATCTGTTTCTCCTTCCCTGTTCATTATCACTGCATTGTTCTGAACCCCTCTGTCTCTCCCTTGGACCCTGAAATCACATGCATCTTGGTCTCTCTACCTTTTATCTCTTGCTTCTGTTATTTAATCCTAAACACTGCTGATGGGGTGATTTTCTGAAGCACAGTGCTGATCATGATCAGCTCTCCTCATTGCCCCTTTAGAAACTCCTCAGTTTTTGGTGGAATAAATTCTACATTCCTTAGAATGACATTGGAGGCCTAATCTTTCCTTTCGATCTAATTTCTCCCTCCTCATGCATGCTGCTGCATTCTAATGAAACACACAGTTTCTCCAGACAAACTTGTATTTTCCTGTGTTCATGCTTTTGCCCCTACTCTTCTCTCTGCCTTGACTGCTCTTTCTCCTGACATTTCCCTCTGTCATGTGTTCCACATGGGCTTTAAAGCTTAGTTTAAAAGCTAGTTTTCTCTTTTTTTTTTTTCAAATTTCTTCTCTAACCAGTTGAACTAAATTTCTCCCACTGTGCTTCCATAGTCATTTGTTCCTTTATAATAGTGCTGATTGATCACATTACACTTTTTAGTTAAGATTTGTTTACCTGTCTCACCTTGCTTTCTGGTTCATAATTCCCTTGAAGGCTTCTACCATAGCATCTTACTCATAGTAGTAGGTACTCAGGAGATGAGAGGTCACTTAAATCAGAGGACTGATTATGACTTGATAACTCTGTGTGGTTGCAAAGAGCCTGTTATATGAAACCATCTGTTCAAGAAACTGCTTATACACAAGGCAGAAGCCATTCACTTCATGTTTTCGTGGGCTGGCTGAGTTCTTTTCTGGGATACCTTCACTCTCAAGTTATCTTACTTTTCAACCCCAGAGCAACTCCCTTCTTCCTGTGTTGGTGGACAAATTTTTAATAAGGTTACTTTAATTTAAATTAACTTCAGATTCTCTTTTAAGAATTCAAGAGGGAAACATGATTAATATTTCTTTGAAATCCACCTCTCTAACAATTCAGTTCTTATCCAACTTGTGCCTAAAATTATGCCAAAAATTACTATAATGCTTTCAGGGTGTGCAAGTAGTTGTGCTCCTTCTCTAAATGGTATTGAACTCAATTGTTACATAGCCAATAAAAGAATCTTCGAGTCTTTAGTACTGAGGCTTCCCCCAGCTTCTAATTATTTATTTTTCTGTGTCAAACCAGATGGCATATTGAATAAATGGTCTCTTTTCCTTATCAGGTTATGGTGGAGAATTCAGATTTTACTCCCTCACAAGTAGGGTGTCTCTTTACCTTCCTTGCCCGGCAGCTTGCAAAGCCTGACAATACCTTGTTTGTAAACAGAACCCTTTTTGATCAGGTGAGCATCTTTAACGATAAGAACTAGAATTGTTTTTATTGTAGAAGCTTTTTCACCTTTCAGTTTGGATCTAAATTAGTTTTTTTTTTTTTTTAATGTTGTGTTTGGGTAGTATGACTGCCTAGTAACTTGGTATCATGGGAGTATGGTTTGTGGAGATTGGTTTATATAGATTCTGTTCTCCCAATTATTCTGTTGTTCTAAATTGCCTAGAATTCTTGGCTTAAGAATTTTCCAGTTTAATAATCACCCATCTCACTGGTAGTAAGACTATGCTGTTGAGTATCTGGAGGAGAGATTACTTTTAGAAAATCTGAATTTACTTACAAATGACTTTAACTGTGAAGGTATTTCCTAATCCCGGTTAAATATCTCCACAAAGCCACAGGTGGCAAAGAAAATACTTTTTATCTGGAGAAAGTTGCTAATAATGACCAGCGTTTATTGAGCACTTCATAGTGCCATGCTCTGTTCCAAAGTTTTATATGTATGTATTAACTCCATACTCCCAGTAGCTCTGAAATTGGTATAGTTATTACTCCCATTTTTCAGATGAGGAAACTAAAACCTGGTGAGGTTAAGTCACTCATCCAAGGTCGTACTTAATAAGTGTTATTATTAGCAATAAATATTGTTGTTAAGTGTTAATAAGGTTAGGATTCAAATTCAAGTGGCCTGACTCCAAAGTCCATGCTTTGTGTGGTCCACAGTGTTGAGGATCTTAAAGTTAAGGTATATAGATGTTGCTGGCTTCCAGTCATGTTTCTAAGCAGCAAAGAAATGTGTATAAGGTATATATTAAATTGTTAGCATACCTGAAGCCTGCTGTGTCATCTACTATGCCAGTCAGTTGGGAAGATACCATATACCTGTGGTGTTCGTTGAGCCGAGTGTGAATGAACTGGTGATATAGAAAGGGTAGTAATGGTTTTCATTATGACAGTGGTGTGGCACGCGTGCTGGTATCCAATTAAAAAGATACCTTTTCTTTGACCAGGTCCTTGAGTTCCTCTGTAGTCCTGACGATGACTCCCGACACTCAGAAAGACAGCAGGTATGAACTACTGGAACTCATCTTGCTAAAGAATGAGAAAGAAGACAGAGTAAGCCAGAAAGAACCTTTCTGTACTAGACCTCACTAGACATAAGGGGAAAATGACTTGTGCCAAACCGTAATACTAAGCTAGACAGCGGCAACCAGAAAAGAGTGTGGATGGTTGTTAGTTTGAGCCTCAATCAAACTAAATTCCTAGGCAGACTGGACCTGCCTTGCATTCAACATGACATCAAAGAGAATATAAACTTTACCCTTCTCCTTCATGAGCAACAGTTGGCACCTGTTGTATGCTGCTTTCCACCAGTGTCATTAAGCTGGTAACCACTTCTAGTTGCTATGGCCATGAACCGGAAAGCCTTCAGGATCCTGAGTATTGGAACACTCAGCTTTTGGGAGTGCCACTACACTAGTGCTCAACATTTCTGGAGACTAGAATCCATCTGTCTCTCCACTAATCACTGTGAGAAAGACATTGATTACCACTTCTTTCTACTTAGCCACTTTCTTGAGGGTCCTTTCTAGATAGGATTTCTTGAAAGCTTACCCACTGTAATTGTGAGCACTAAGAGAGGCAGTCTATTTAAAATTGATAGCAAGACTTTGTCAGCCAAGTAAGCTACAAAAACTAAGTGCTTTGAGAGCTATGCTGATTTTTTATGGTAATATATGCCAGGCCAGAGGTTGAGACTCAGATAAAGAATATAGGATTACAACAGCGAACCCTTTCTCTGCACAGCTGTGGCCCCGTGACTGCTGCAGACTGTCTTAGGGAAGAGAACAGCTGCTAAAATTTTGATTGTCTCTTAAATTATACTGAACACAAATAGTAGTGTGGATCCCTCATTTTGCCCCTATTTCTCTATTGGCAGGAAAAGTGAAACATGTTATGCATGGTGTTGCTATATAAAATGATAAAAACTTCTTATGTAAATTACTAAATAAAATAAAAACCAAACCTAAATGTAAAAGCCAAACCTTTAAAAGTAATCGTAATGTAGTAATCTATTATTGGGAATCCCCTTTGGGATTATCTGGGGTTTTTTCCCCAACTCATTTTAGAAAATAGAAAGAAAACTGATGAAGTAAATTGCTCAAGGTCATAAATGAGATTAGAACTCAATTCCTTCCCTTCTAATCCAGCACTCTTTCTCTTGTACTGTTTGTCATATATCAAAATTTGTTTATGCAATATATTTGAATATTTTCCAGTGGTATGCTGATAAAAGTTTAACAACTGGTTCACACTGATATGAACGTTGGTTGATGTTTTCATTTATTAAAGGGAATAAGATGAAAGTGCAACAGTGAAAGCATGTCAGAACTTCATTCATCAGTGTTGTGACTTCTTTGCTGAATCGGATAACAGTTTTTGAATACTGGAAAATAATTCCTTAATTTTTTTGTGCTATTATAGTGTAATGTCTCTGACATGCACACTTTTAAGTCTGACTATCTTTTTAACATTATCTCCATCACTTTCTTAACCAGAAATTGGCACGCTTTTTCTGTAAAGGACCAGAGAGTAAATATTTTAGGCTTTATGGGTCACATATAGTCTCTGTCACATATTCTTCTTTGTTTGTTTGTTTTATAACCCTTTGAGCATGTAACAAGCCCTGATTTACAGCATTTGCCTGTTTCCATGGTGTAAGTATTCCCACCATGGCTGACTTCAGTCTACCAGCATGATGTCACCCGGCACATGGAATTGGGGAGAGATGCACCATACCACACACTTATGTAATATTTCCACCATACAGATACGGCTACAGTAACTAACCTTGAGAGCATACACAGTAAAATGTAGTAAAATAATTAGGAAGTGGTGAGTGTGGGTATTGATTACCTTCACTTTTAATTTAATTTATTTAATTGTAGGTTTATATAATTTGATTTTTAACAATGCCTGTATTTAACCACCGGCTTACAAAATTCCTGAAAGTTAAGTCAGTTTCAGCTCAGTAAGTTGGTTCAGACTGGCTCTAGCAGTGGCATTTGATTATGTTATTCCAAGCTGAGGCTTCTAGCAGGTGGGTTCACGCTATCATTGCTCTGTATAGCAGTACATTATAATACTCAAAATGGATTAAATTAGAGTTCTGAAGTGTAAAGGTAGGATAGGTTTTATTTCTTTTCTGCCTTTTAAAAAAATTTGACTTGAAAGTAATCAATTTCCTGTGTTAGAAAAATGCTTTGTTAAATGGTTTCCTGGAGTTCTGAGAAAGAGTGTTACTCTGGATCTTGAACTTAAATATAGGAGAGAGCTTTCTCATATTGCTCTAGTGACTATGTAGTGATTCTATTATATTTGAGATTTATTTTAAAATATTTATATTTCAACATCCTGGTCACCTTTTTTTATTCAGCTACTTAGTGTGGTAAAGATTAATTACATGAACCCCAGTATTTTTCTTTGTTTTTTATTGTGGTCAAATATATATACACAATAAGATTTGTCATTTTAAGCATTTTAAGTGTACAGTTCTCATTAAATATAATCGCACTGTTGTGCAACCATCACCACCATCTGTCTCCAGAACTTTATAGTCCCAAACTGAAACTCTGTACTCATTAAACAGTAAGTCCTTGTTACCCCTCCCCAGCACCCTGGCAACTATTAAACCTTCTGTCTCTGAATTTGACTACTTTAGGTGCCTCGTATAAGTGGAATTATACATTATGTGTCCTTTTATGACTTATTTCACTTAGCATGATGTTTTTAAGGTTTATCGATATGTGGCATGTGTCAGAATTTCATTCCTTTTTAAGGATGAACAGTATTCCATTATATGTATATACCATATTTTGTTCATCCATTTATCCATTGATTGACATTAGGGTTGTTTCCACCTTTTAGCTCTTGTGAATAATGCTATACTGTGAGAAACCCCAAGTTTAGTTAGAAAAATTAACACGTGAACATGGATACTACCTGTGGGCAACAGATTTTAAAGAGCCATAAGTCATAAAGGCACCAGACAAAAATTCACTTATTGAAAGAATACATATGGACGTTTTTAGCTTAGTGGAGGGTCAATTAGATATTCTAATATCTAATAAGGCTTTGTTTGCAAACACTTTGGCATTCCTTCCATGTTTGAAAATAGAGCTGTTTACCTTTTTGTAAGACTTAAATACAATATGATCAACATTATAATGGCAGTCTAACCCCTTGTATACATGAAAGCCAAACTGAAACATCAGCACATAATAAGACAAAAGCGAAAAAGGTATGGTTTCTGTGGCTGAATGGACCCTTAAAGAGCTAATAAATAAGAGTAGATTCCAAAGTGTTTTTACTCATTTATTTTAAATGTTCAGGTCCTTTTAGAATTGCTGCAGGCTGGAGGCATAGTTCAATTTGAAGAGAGTCGGCTCATCCGTATGGCAGAAAAGGCAGAATTGTAAGTTGCTTTGAAGCCATGTATTAGTTCCCATAGAACTATTAAATTACATTTCTCTAACTTGAAGCCCAGTTTATTTATGCATTGCCATTTTTTTAAGAAAAGTTATGCATGTAACAACAAAAAAAACCTGGGTGCAAAAGTTTTTGCCTTTCAAGTCTAGAAATTAGTTAGATTTGCAGAAATTAATAGCAAGTAAATTTGAAGTGCTTGTACATTTTAGTGTGAAAATGAAATAGCAGCCTTATGATTTATTATTGTAGTTTTTTTACTTAAAATTTCCATGGTATTTCATAGATTTTTGACAGTTATATATATTATAAACAATGCAGAATTTAACATAGCAAATAAGATGCAATATGTTAGCACTACTATTTAGTTTGTTGAATATTTCATTTGACATATTTAATTCTGAATAGGGAAATTTCATATAATTGATTATATTGATATGTAATACATTAACTATTTTTTATGTGACGCATTGTTGCTTTAACATTTATTTTGTACCCAGCTTTGAAATTTCTTATAAACATAGTATTCAGCAGCATCTTAAACATATATTTAGAGGAACGGCAGGTACTATAACTTCATTTAACAATAGAAATCACATCTACTATATTCATTTTCCTTAATACTAACCTCTATGCCTGAGCAAATGTCTTGAAACAATAAGCTAATAACCACCTGACTGTTTGGTACACTGAAGTTTTTCCTTTTATGTTCTAGCTATCAAATTTGTGAATTTATGTATGAACGAGAACACCAGTATGACAAAATTATTGATTGCTACTTACGTGACCCACTAAGAGAGGTGAGTTAAGAGACAGCTTTACCCTTTTTTCTTACTCAGTCCCCCTCCTCCCCTTATCAAGAAGAAATAACTATTCAGTAGAAATATTTGGACATATGTTTGCTGACTTAAAGTTTTGTTCATTGTTCAGTAGGGCTTAATTGAGTGCCTGCTATTAGCCAAGTATATATTGATAATTAAAACAGATATATAGTTCCTGTAATTTTATAACTTATAGTTTAGTGATGGAGATGGACAGTAAGAAAACCAAATATTTAGTTACAAATTGTGATGAGCGCTAGAGAAACTGGGTGCACCATGAGAGGATAATGGGGAAACTGACTTATACAGAGCAGCCAGGGAAGGAATCTCAGATAAAATGACTTATAAACTGAGTTTTGGAATTTGAGAAGAAGCCAGTCAAGCCAAGAGCCAATAGAAAAATGCTGCAGGATCAGGAACAGTATATGCAAAGATCTCGAGGTGGGAAAATTTTTTGACATGTTCAAGGAACTGAATAGAGATCGTATAAATGAAGCTTAGATCATTGTAAGTTGAGCATAACGGGCAAGGGCAAAAGTGATTTGAGATGAAATTGGGAATATGGACAGAGACCACCAAAGCAAAAGAATGATATTCACTGTTAGGTTAATGAAATTGAGACTAACATTAATTGGAACAGATTTGCAACTTCTAAGGATCTACCCTAAACTTTAAACAATTACTCTTTCTCTTTTAAGTCAGTCGTCCATCAGTTAACTATCTCCAAATGGTTTTCCATCTCCAAATAACAGATATTTACCAACACTGGTACAGTTAGTAGATAGTGACTAAATATTGCTTGAGTGAATGAATGAATGAATTATATTGTCTTGTGCTTTTCAGGAAGAAGTCTTTAACTACATTCACAATATCTTATCCATTCCTGGACACAGTGCAGAGGAGAAGCAATCTGTATGGCAGAAGGCAATGGATCATATTGAGGTACTGATTCAACAGAATTTTTAAAACTTTCCCATTTGTATGGATATCTCCCAAATTAAATTTTTCTAACTAAACAGTTGGAGGTATTATATTATTAAGTTGATTTGCTTGAGGATTAACATCTTTTTCAGATAATTCTGCCTCACATTTGTATTCGTAAAACCCACGTCATGTACAATTTATTATATCATGACTTCTGAAAATAACTCATGTTCAACCAGCTAGTTGACAAACTGGAATTTTAGTGGGTTTTTACAGTGTTCTTAGAAATTCTGAAAGTACTACTGATCTTTTTCTCTACTACATGATGGAGCCATTCCCCCTAGTCACCTGATGGAATTTTAGAAACATTACTGCAATGAGTTGTTCTCTCTGATGTATTTCCCTTCTTTATGTAAGAGGATGATGATTCTGATTTTGTTTATGCATGCTGTTTTACAGGAATGCAAGAGTTGACTTTGAAACTAAAAGTTCTTTTTTAAAAACTTGCTTATAGATGCCTAAATGGAGAGACGAATACGTGTGTAATGAACATGTGATCAGAATGCATTCTAAAAAGAGGCCCAAAAATCACTCCTCACTTTTAGTTTCTTTAGGTTCATAAATACAGTATTCCTCAGAAACCAACAGAGCTAGAGATTTGTTTTAATCTGTTCTGTATTATGGGTCACTAATTATTGAAAAAAAGTAGTAATGAAGGATGTTGAGGTAATTCGAGTTTTGGAAATAACATTTATATCTACAGAGTTTCTCTCCTCCTCCTTGTAGCAAGGATCAGGTAACTTCTGGTGATGGATTTAGAGATGCGGTGAAAGATATGATTATGCAACATGTTTAAAAATTTTTTTACGTATGAAAAATAATAAGAGCTCTGAAACTTTGAGAAAGCATTGCATGTAGTGTGAATACTTTTAGTTCCTGATAATTGTAACGTTTAGAAAGATCAGAAATGTGAACAGCATCTTATGTAAAACATCTGGCGTGAAAGGTGGTGCAGTCAGTGGGCTGAAGTAATTTCCACACTTTCATCTATAGGATTGAGAACATATATATGTTATTAATTCAGTCTTATCGTATTCCTGCTAACAATAAGATCAATATATCTTGGTGAAAGAACCCAAGAAAACCTTCTTCAACTTTGAATTATATCTTTTTTTCCTCTAATCATTTTGTATTCTTTTTCCTTTCATCATCCCCTTTAAGTCTCCATAGTTACATTATGCCTCATTGTTCATTTCACTTCATCTGCATTATGCAGTGGTTTGAGCACATGGACTCCAGACATCCAGAAATGAAGCTGTGTCTCTCCACATAATGTGAAACATGATGAATTAATCAATGAACAAACAAATTATTCAGCAGAAAACTCATACTGGAGAAGCAAGAAGTATTGTTTCTGCACAGCAATTATTTCTGCTATTTTTCCCACATCTGTGCATTTTTTCACCTTGAACTTTTTAATACTTCCTAAGGCCACGTTAGAAATCTATAGACACTTTTGAAGGACTTGTGTGGCTTTGGTAATGTAAATAAAATCAACATTAAATACGTAGGGGGAAAGTCCTCATAATAAAGTTTTCAGACAGTCTACATAGTGTATAGATTAGTGGTTCCTAACACTTTGGGGGTTATAGATCTCTTTTGAGAATCTAGTGAAAGATTTGGACCTGTGCCTTATAGTATTGTGCATGTGCTCAGACGCATAATTTCGTTTGCTATTTCAGGGATCCACAGACTCCCTAAAAGACATTCTTAGACTGGGTCTGTAGATTTCAGGTAAAGAATCTCTGGTAAAGATGGTTTTTCCAATATGGACAACACACGTTTCATGAGATTTTAAAAAATATTTTTGATTTTGAAATATAAAAAAGAAACAAAAAAGTGCGTAAAAGTACAGTTTAATAAAAAAATAAAAAAGCCAACATCCCAGAAATAGAGTTATTTCCAGTATCCCAGACTATTCCCATGTATCCTTTTCTTATCACAATTCACTGCCTTACTAATATATTCATTATCCTCGTTCTTCTGATAATTTATTGCACTTTTATATATTGTTATTGCACCTGCCTGCACCCCTAAAAATATGTATTTTTGTTTTGCCTGTTTCTGAACTTTATATAAATGGAGTTATACTCTGTATTTTCTTTTTCTTAATATTTTGAGAAATTTATACATTTTATTGTTTGTAGCTAGTTCATTTTTATTACTGTATAGTGTTAAATTTTACAAGTATATCACAGTCTATCCATTATACTGTTAATGGACATTTCAGTTGTTTCTAGTTTTTGACTATTAAAAGTAGTCCATCCAGGATCATGCTTACATATGCATCTTGAACACAGCTACCACATGCATTTCTCTAGAACAGTGGTTCTCAGTTTGGTCCCTGGTAGAGCATTACAGCATCAGCTGAGAACTCGATAGAAATGCAGTTTAAGTCCTCACCTCAGACCTACTGAATCAGAAACTCTGGGGGCAGGGCCCAGCAGTACATTTTAACAAGCCCTCCTGGTGATTTTGATGCATGTTAACATTTGATAATCTCTGTTCTAGGGTCTGTAGTTGCCAATTAACTGGGATAAATATATTAAACTTAAGCAGATGCCAGCATTATGTGAGATTTTCCATTGACTCTATATTCTTGCTAGAGTTTAAAATTTTGTCTGTCTAATGGATGAATAATGATATTTCATTATGTTTTAAATTTACATATCCTTAATTACTAAAGGGATTGATAGATTCATATTTATTGGCTGTTTAAATTTCCTTTCTGTGATGTCCCTGTTCAAGTCTTTTGCCCATTTTTCTGTTAGAATGTATCTTGTACTCATTGATGTAGGAGTTCTTTATGTATCCTGGATGTTAGTCTTTTTTTCAGTGATACATGTTGGAAATATCTTCTACTCTGTGGCTTTTTTTCTATGTTTCTTTTTAAGAAAAGTTTTTTTTTTTTTTTAAGTAGTCAGAATAATCAATTTTTTCCTTCGGTACTGAAGAAGTCCTATATTATTGTCTAAAAGCTTTCTTGTTTTTTGTTTCATCTATAAATCTTAGATCCACCTGAATCCACTTTTGTATATGATTTAAGGTGGGGATCCATTTAATTTTTTTTTTTTTGCGGTACGCGGGCCTCTCACTGTTGTGGCCTCTCCCGTTGTGGAGCACATGCTCCGGACGCGCAGGCTCAGCGGCCATGGCTCACAGGCCCAGCCGCCCCGCGGCACGCGGGATCTTCCCTGACCGGGGCACGAACCCGCGCCCCCTGCATCGGCAGGCGGACTCTCAACCACTGCGCCACCAGGGAAGCCCCCCAATTAATTTTTTAAAATATGGATGCCCAGTTCTCCAGCAACAGTTTTTTTTCCTTTTTTCCTCCTTTTTAAAAATTGAAGTATAGTTGATTTACAATGTTTTAGGTGTACAGCAAAGTGATTCAGTTATACATATATATATTTTTTTCTTTTTCAGATTCTTTTCCATTATAGGTTATTACAAGATATTTTAATATATTTGAATATATAAACTATATTTGAATATAGCTCCCTATGCTATTTATCTTATATATAGTAGTATATATCTGTTTATCCAAAATCCCTAATTTATCCCTCCCCCCTTCCATAAGTTTGTTCTCTATGTATGTATGTTTGTTTCCAATGTATGTATGTGAGTCTATTTCTGTTTTGTAAATAAATTCCTTTGTATTTTTTTTTCAGATACCACATACAAGTGGTATATGATATTTGTCTTTCTCTGTCTGACTTACTTCACTTAGTATTATAATCTCTAGGTCCATCCATGTTGCTGCAAATGGCATTATTTCATTCTTTTTTATGGCTGAGTAATATTCCACTGTATATATATATACCACATCTTCTTTATCCATTCATCTGTCTGTGGACGTTTAGGTTGCTTCCATGTCTTGACTATTGTAAATAGTGCTGCTATGAACATTGGGGTGCGTGTATCTTTTTGAATTAGAGTTTTCATTTTTTCTGGGTATATGCTTAGGTGTGGGATTGCTGGATCATATGGTAGTTCTATTTTTAGTTTTTTGAGGAACCTCCGTACTGTTTTCCATAATGGCTGCACCAACTTACATTCCCACCAAAAGTGTAGGAGGTTCCTTTTTTTCCACACCCTCTCCAGCATTTACTATTTGTAGACTTTTTGGTGATGGCCATTCTGATCTGTGAGGTGATACCTCACTGTGGTTTTGATTTGCATTTTTCTAATAATTAGCCGTGTTGAACATCTTTTCATATGCCTGCTGGCCAGCTGTGTGTCTTCTGTGGAGAAATGTCTATTTAGGTCTCCTGCCCATTTTTCAATTGTGTGTTTTTTTTGTTTTGTTTTTTTTTATATTGAGCTGTATGAGCTGTTTGGAAATCAATCCCTTTTTGGTCACATCATTTGTAGATATTTTCTCCCATTCTGTAAGTTGTCTTTTTATTTTGTTTATGGTTTCCTTTGCTGTTCAAAAGTCTGTAAGTTTGATTAGGTCCCATTTGTTTATTTTTGCTTTTGTTTCCATTACTCTAGGAGATAGCTCCAAAAAAGTATTGCTATGATTTATGTCAGAGTGTTCTGCCTATGTTTTCCTATAGGAGTTTTATAGTATCTGGTCTTACATTTAGGTCTTTAATCCATTTTGAGTTTATTTTGTACATGGTGTTAGAGAATGGTCTATGTTCATTTGTTTACATGTAGCTGTCCAGTTTTCCCAGCACCAGTTATTGAAGAGACTGTCTTTTCTCCATTGTATATTCTTCCCTCCTTGGTTGTAGTTTAATTGACCATAAGTGCGTGGGTTTATTTCTGGGCTTTCTGTCCTGTTCCATTGATCTATGTGCTAGCAACAATTATTTTAAAAGCCCAGCAGTGCTACCTTATCATAAGTATACCAAGGATCTCTGTGTTTTGTCTCTTTTTCTGAGCTCTCTTCTGTTTGATTGGTCTTTGTCTCTACATGTACCACACTACTTGAAATATTGTGGTTTTATAATAAGTCTTCATGTTTTTTCAGAGAGTATTGGCTGTTTACTTCCAAATTCATTTTAGAATCAGCTTGTCAAGTTCCACCAAAAGCAATTTCTAACCTTATGATTCTGACAAGGATTACATTGAATCTTTCAATCATTTTTAATTTAATTGACATCTTTACATTGTGAGTCTTCCACCTTATGACCATTTGGTGTAACCGTTTATTGAATAACTTTCTATAAAGTTTTATAATTTCTTCTGTAGAGACTTTTCATCCACTGTTAGATTTACTGTCACAACTTCATATATTTTAGCATAACAGTGCTATTGTTAATGATATTTTTATTTTTGTTTATTTAAATTTATTTTATTTATTTATTTATGGCTGCATTGGGTCTTCGTTGCTGCACGCGGGCTTTCTCTAGTTGCAGCGAGCGGGGGCTACTCTCTCATTGCGGTGCGTGGGCTTCTCGTTGTGGTGGCTTCTCTTGTTGCGGAGCATGGTCTCTAGGTGTGCAGGCTTCAATAGTTGTAGCACGTGGGCTCAGTAGTTGTGGCTCACAGGCTCTAGAGTGCAGGCTCAGTAGTTGTGGCACACAGGCTTAGCTGCTCCGCAGCATGTGGGATCTTCTCAGACCAGGGCTCAAACCCATGTCCCCTGCATTGGCAGGCAGACTCCCAACCACAATGCCGCCTGGGAAGCCTATTAATGATATTTTAAAAATTTTATTTCTAACATGTACAATGTTCACTGTAAAGATTTTTATGGAAGTCTTCTATTTCTACTATGCTGACAGTTTTCTCATGAATGAATTTTATCATCTTTTCTCCCTTATTCTATTTTTGTCATAAATTTTATTGATATTAAATCAGCCTTGAATTCTATGGGTAAATGCAACTTGAATCTGATATATTATCTTTTCTGTATATTGTTGGATTTTTTTTTATTTATTAGTGTTCACAATTAAGACTGGCCTATAATTTTCCTTTCCTTTCTTATGTTGTTCTACTGAGTTTAGGTATCAAAATTTTGCTAGCCTTATACAGTGAGCTGAAGTAGCTTCCTTTTTTCTATTCTCTGTAAGAGATTAATTGGTATTGGAATTATTTCTTCCTTAAATGATTGCTGGGCACTTACCAGTGAAGCTATTTGGGCCTGTAGTGTTTCATATGGGAAGATTTTTGACTATTCATTCAGTTTCTTTAGTGGTTAAAAATCAATGCATGTTTTCTATTTCTTTTTTTTTTTAAATTTATTTCTTTTATTTATTTATTTTTGGCTGCATTGGGTCCTTGTTGCTGCACACAGGCTTTCTCTAGTTGCGGTGAGCAGGGGCTGCTCTTTGTTGCGGTGCGCGGGCTTCTCACTGCAGTGGCTTCTCTTGTTGCCGAACACAGGCTCTAGGCACGCGGGCTTCAGTAGCTGTGGCACGCAGGCTCTAGAGCACAGGCTCTGTAGTTGTGGCGCACAGGCTTAGTTGCTCTGTGGCATGTGGGATCTTCCCGGACCAGGGCTCGAACCCATGTCCCCTGCATTGGCAGGAAGTTATTACTTTAAGCTCAAGGGTAAATTCACTGGCAGAGAATTTGGGAAGCTTTTGTTCCTTCCATTCATCCTGTAGATATCATGGCCTAAATCCAGAATTTTAGTGCTTTCATTTTCTAAGAATTCTGAATTACCTTTCATATCAAAATCTGGTTTTTTACATGATGCTTTTCTAATTTTACTCATTTGCAATATGTCTTTAAATTGTGGCCCTATATTGAGGTTTCCTGAAATGCAGTGTAGAAGCTCATGAAAATATTGATGTAGGTGATCATACTTCACACCTGTGGAAATTCTATTTAACTTTAACATTGAAGATTATTTTATATTTTTCTTTCATTACAGGAGCTTGTGTCCCTGAAGCCCTGTAAAGCTGCAGAGCTGGTTGCTACTCACTTTTCTGAACAGATTGAAACAGTCATTAAAAAACTTCAGGTAAACTTCGCAAAATATACTGGGAAGAAGCATCTAGTGGAGAGACAATGATTGACTATCCACCTAAGAACTTTTGACTATAGTAATTTCTTCAGTTGATAGTTGCCTTTTAATAGCAGTTTCTACACATTGTGTGTGTGTGTGTGTGTGTGTGTGTGTGTGTGTATGTATTTGGAAGCAATTGTGTGATAATCTCTGAGTCTAGAAATGAGGGAGTTCATCTTTGTGCATAACAAATATTAACATCACAGAAATATTTTTGGAAATACAACCTGTTGTTACCTGGAAATCATAATCCACAGAGGGTCCTCTCCCCCCGCCACCCACCCACCTCTCCATATCTTTTGCTATAGTGACTGCAACCATATTCTCTTCAGGCTTCATGTTATTTATTCAGACTTTTGTCATCCTCCTACTGGGTTAATGCTGACTATTTTTTAAAATTTATTTTATCGTATATTTATTTATTTATTTATTTTTGGCTGCGTTGGGTCTTTGTCGCTGCGTGCGGGCTTTCTCTAGTTGCGGCGAGCGGGGGCTACTCTTCGTTGTGGTGCGCTGGCTTCTCATTGCGGTGGCTTCTCTTGTTGCAGAGCACGGGCTCTAGGTGTGTGGGCTTCAGTAGCTGTGGCACGTGGGCTCAGTAGTTGTGGCACATGGGCTTAGTTGCTCTGGGGCATGTGGGATCTTCCCAGACTAGGGCTCAAACCCGTGTCCCCTGCATTGGCAGGTGGATTCTTAACCACTGCGCCACCAGGGAAGTCCCAATGCTGACTATTTAGAATTTTTCTCGGAAAATCTTAGCTAGAATACAGGTATATTAATGCTGAATATTGAGATGCTCATTTTGAAGTACTATTTAATGGACCTAATATTTCACTTGTCACTACTGTGGCAGTGCTAGTAGTGAGTTTTGCTTGTTACCGTTATGGCCACAAGTGATAGAGATAGGGAATAGGACAATGACAGGAACATGTAGCACAACCCAGAGTCCTCAAGTAGCAGTAATAGTAGTAGGGGTTAGGTATGCAAGAAGGAAACCAAAGCAGTGAGTGGGAGGCAGCTGACATGAGACAGAGATGTGGAATTCATTCATTTACACACTACCGTGGTGCCACTCTGTACCCCACAGTATAGTAGGCTCTGGGGGGCACAAATAAGAATGCAGTCTTTTTCTTAATTTTTCCTGTGGAACAGAGAAGCACTTATATAACCACAGCACAGTGTTATAAGCTCTACACCAGACATATGTAAAAAAGTGCTGTAGGAATAAGAGGAGAGAGTGACAGACTGTGTGAGAGAAGCAGACAAGAGTTCCCACATATGCCTGAACTGGGTCTGGAATAATTGGGATCAGTCTTCTAGGCAGAGAATTGGGAAGGGCATTCTAGATAAAGGGTTCTGGGTATGTAAAGACTTGATGAAGTCTTGAAGCAACATGCATATTCAGAGGATGATGTGGTAAAGACAATGGTGGAAGAAGCATCAGATTAAGCTTACAAAGGTATATTGGAGGGAAGGAGTTAAAAGCATAGAGCCTGGGAAATAGACTTTTGGGGCTGATATTGAACAATCTTATATGTAATGCTAAGAAATTATGCTATATCTCCTGTGTGCTGGAGAATTACTGAAGTTTTTTAAGCAAAGGAATTATACCATTAGATTCATTTTATAGAAAAGTAATTCTGTAGTATGGAGAATGGACTGGCAAAGAGAGCAGATGGAGGAGAGAACAGTTAGACCAGTTGGAAGGCAAAAGGTCTCGACAAAAAACAGTGAGGACAGGATGAAAGCAGTGGCAGTGGAGAAGACAGGTCGAAGATACGTTTGTGAAATAAAATGTATAGGGCTTGGAAATTAGTTGAATGTGATGGGTGGAGTTAAAAATGACTCCCAGATGTAGGGTTGGTTGTCCAGCATGATGAAGTCCATTAAATCAAGATAAGGACTCATCCACTAATTCAATAAATATTTATGTACCTGCTGTGGGCCAAAACCACAATAAAGTGCTAAGGATACAAAAACATATACAGTTGACCCTTGAACAATGCGGGGGTTAGGGGTGCCAACCCCAGTGCAGTCAAAAATCCTTGTATAACTTTTGACTTAACCAAAAGCTTAACTACTAATAGCCTACTGTTGGCTGGAAGCCTTACCAATAACAGAAACAGTCAATTAACACATGCTTTGTATGTTATATGTATTATATACTGTATTCTTAGAATACGTGAATTAGAGAAAAGAAAATATTATTAAAATCATAAGGAAGAGAAAATACATTTACAGTACTGAACTAAACTTATCAATACTGTACATTTATGTCATCTTTTTATAAGATGAATCATCTGTCTGTCAGTACCCATACAATATTGTCTTAAACAGAGTACTGTTATACATATTACTAACACTAGACATCAAAAATGAAAAGATGTGAAAAAGAAATTTGTATTTATTTACAGGTATAACAATTCATACATTGATAATGAAAAAGCAAATGTTTGCTCTGTGGTAGTCTAGTGTAATTGATATGATTGCTTCAGAGTAGCCTAACGTATACACCAATGAGTGAATTGTTATAAAATTTTTATAGCATACAGTATTACAGTCATATTCATGATACAGTATTGGAAACATTGTTACTTTTTAAAAAAAAACACGTGATGGTGGGTTGACATGCAGTTTCTCCAATTACTAGAGAGGGGGAGAGAGAGGGGCATATTTTATATTTATTATCACTCATGCCTATGTAAGGATAGACTAGTATCTACGTATATTTTATGCATTCATGACATACCTAACTTTTTCTTAATTTTTTCACTATTGCTGGGCTATGTGGTTAGCCTGCAGGTTTTTTCAAATTGTTGCAAATCTTCCAAATTTTTTCCAATATATTTATTGAAAAAAATTCACGTGTAAGTCAGCCCACTCAGTTCAAATCTGTGCTCTTCAAGGGTCAACTGTAAATGTATCCCTGTGCTCAAGAAGACAGATAAGCCAAAAGATAATTGTAGAATAGTTTGACTTGAATGATGATAGAGGACTGCCCAGGATCCTGAGGAAGTACATGGAGGGTCATCCGGTCCATTCTAGTGAGGGGGGTACATTTCTGCTAAAACTACTCTCAACCCACAGAGCATCTCCGTCTTTTAAAAGTCAGCAATTTTGATGAATCTTCTTGTCTATAGTGATGTTATTGTCATTTAAAATATAAGATTATCGGACTTCCCTGGTGGTCCAGTGGTTAAGACTTCTTGCTCCCAACGCAGGGGGCCCAGGTTCAATCCCTGGTTAGAGAACTAGATCCCACATGCCGCAACTAAGAGCCTTCATGCTGCAACTAAAGATTCCGCATGTGACGATGAAGATCTTGCATGCTACAACTAAGACCTGGCACAGCCAAATAAATAAATAAATATTAAAAAACAAAACAAAACTAGATCTACATTTTTTTAAAAAAATGTTAAGATTATCCATTGCAGGATTTTCTTTTTCCTACAGGCTTTAAAATATTTAGAGGTAGAGAGGCTAGGTAAATGAATATAATGTCATTCATTAGACAAATATATAAAAGCTGAAATAATTTACACACACAAAAAAGGTGGCTCTTGACCATGGACTATTTGTGGAGTCTTACACATTCCTTTTAAAGAAATGAAATATTTTTTCTATTGCAGAGCTTTATTGATTGTATAAGAATCCCACACAAATTTTATAAATTACCTTCACTTTTGATGGCAAGAAATATGCCTCTGACCAATTATTTTCAGAATTCTTGAAATGAAAAATAAGCCAGAATATTAAGGTATAACCAGAAGGAAAGCCATGTAAAATAAAACAAAGTGATAGGCCAGGAAAAAGATAGAAAATCAAAGACTGATAAATATATTTAAAATGTTAAATTCTAAATGACATTAATCCTTTTTGGTTTTGAGATCCCCTGCTTTTTATAGGTGAAGTAGAATGTGTCAAAAAAATAAAGAAAAAAGGAAAACAAAACTATAATAATTTTTGCTTAGCTTTCTTAAGAACTTAGAAACATTATTAATATTCATATAGTATTCTAAGATTTATCTCACTTAATTCTCACCTCTGTCCTGCGCAGGAGGAAGAGAAGATATTGATGTTCTCTTTTTCACATAAGTAAACCAAATGGCTTACGAGAGTCAGTGACTTACACAAAGTCACATAGCTAAAAAGTGGAAGAAACAGAAGCCAGACATTTTGCATATTAGTTGCTAACCTGTTTGCCATCTCTTCTGTAGTTGATTATATTGAGGAGTTAATGAGCTTTTTTGGTACTGGTTGTTGTTTGGGCCTCAGCCTCCCACCCCACCTAGATTAACTGTCTCACAGTTGGCTGTTGTCACAAGGAGGACCAGGTGAGGCAGTGTGTACCCGTCATTGTAGCCAGAGCAGTTCAGAGCACCTGCCATTCCAAGGGTCTTCATGCTGGGAACTGTTAAGGGATTTGTCTCAATAGAGGGCCTTTTTTTTTTTTTTTTTGGCAGGGTTGGGGTACCAATAACCAAGGTGTTTGAATTTCTTCTACTCTCAAAATTGAGTATGTGACAATGATTAGAATTACTGAGAGAAAATGACCTCCAAATGATTCTTTAGAATTCCTTAGATCTGTACAGAGGGCATAATGGAAGTAGTCATATGCGTGTGTGCTTTTTAAAGGGATATTCTAGAGTTATTTACCATGGCATAGTTTGAAGAATTCATTTTAATATTTAATTGTATTTTTTATTGTTTTTCTCTTCAGAACCAGGTTTTGCTTTTCAAATTTTTGAGGAGTCTTCTTGACCCAAGGTATGTTAATAAAATTTAGTTTTTCATAATACATAGATGAGAAATCAAAGGAAATAAATTGAGTTGAAGAAACTGGCTCATGATATCCAAATAGTATAGTCAGCTCTTGATTTTTAATATTAGCAGGAGTAATAGTTACAGAGATTATTCTAAATACATGATTGGAAAATTGATTACATCTTGAAGGAATACTTTTGTTTCTATTTGAACATGAGCATACATGATGAGTTGTTATCAATGTAAAGAAAATAATGAAGGTGTGCCATGAGGACATGTTTCAGGACATGTTGATGACCATCTAGCTTCCGCTGTCTCTGGTAGCATCACTCCTTCTGATTCCTTTTTCCATGCTGTAGATTGATAGCTTTACTTTTCAAAGTAAACACCTAGTTCCCAGCCCACCTCTAAATGTATTACATTTTATTTTATTTTTATTATTATTATTTTTTTTTTGCGGTACGCGGGCCTCTCACTGTTGTGGCCTCTCCCGTTGCGGAGCACAGGCTCCGGACGCGCAGGCTCAGTGGCCATGGCTCACGGGCCCAGCCGCTCCGCGGCATGTGGGATCTTCCCGGACCGGGGCACGAACCCGTGTCCCCTCTAA